TGATGGCCATTCCAGAACAAGAGTTCCAAACTTGCTTTGAAGGGTGGACTGAAATTGAGGCCCAGAAAAGCAAGCTCTCTTCCCTCAGTTTATGTTGCCCCCATGAAGTGGTACGGAGAGGGAGGGGGAAATGAAAATCAATGTTTCCAAATAAAATTTTCTGGAGGTATGGGTAAGGCTTGGGTGTAGGTGGGACAAAGGTCCTTGGCCTGCAACCCAGAGCAGGCCAAGTTGGGCACATAATCCATCCCTCTGCTTCTCCTTGGCCTGACAAGAAATGGACTGAGGGTAAAGAGAAAGCCCATTTTGGGATTGTGGGTGTGCTCACTGGTTTAAAAATGCCAAATTGCCCCAAGTGGGTAAGAATGTCAAGGGCCCTTGGTGGTGGTGGCGGGCACCTTTGTGTTCCAACTTTTCAGAGTGCCCTTTCTTCTGCTCACCAATGACAGAGAGCCATCAGTTGGAAAAGGATCTCTGCTGTTTCAGGTTAATTCATTCAGTTCTTGTTCCAGGTACTCTGGCTATAGCTGGGAACAAAACAGGGCCCTGCCCTCCTGCAGATCCTCCTTAGCTAGGAGTAGGCTCTCTTTTGGAGTAGCTTCCTGACCAGATTTTATTTCTTCTTGGAGGCCTTCTCCTGGGCTACTCCGTTTAGGGGCGGAACCTCAGGAAGGGGGAGAAGAAACAAGGCCCTGAGGAGTCAGTCAGGGGCCCAGCAAAAATGAAGAAGCAACCATCTGGCTGGAGAAGACTGTGGCTTGAGGTCCAGGCCCACCACTTTTCACAAGCCAATGACCTAACCGCTTTGAGCCTCGTTATTTTTCTCATGTGCCAATGGAATAAGACCGAGGAGGGCACTGGTTTATTATGGGGGTAAAAGGAAACCAGATATGTCCATGTTATCTCCTCTCCCATCCACTGACCTCCCTGAACCTGTTCTCTCTGGTTCTGGGTGGGAAATCCCCATCCCCATTCTGAGCTGAGCCGTCCTCCCAGCCTAGGCTGGAGGAAGCCCATTCTGCTAAACTTAGCAAGGGTTACTGTAGCCCCTGCTGTGCTGCGGGCCAGCCTCTCTCTACTGCGCTCATCTTAACTGGGGTCTTGAGAAGTGCTGGGGGGAGCCAAGGATGCCCAGCCCGGGCTGTGGCCTGCCGTGAGATAGGACAGAAGCCAGGACTCCCCCCAAGGCTAGGCACCCATTTCAACAGCACCTAGACGGACCCCCTTGGGCCAGGGGCTGCCGCCTCGCCCGCACCCCGTCTCGCTCAACCCGAGGGCCTAGCGTGAATCTGGCCCAAAGAGGCGGGAAGCACAAGTGTAAACATCCCTTTAAGAAATTGCCAACTCTGCAGTCCCCATCCCAGGATTTTTTTTTTTAAGGGGTTGGGGGGCTGGGTAAGGCGGAGGGACGCAAAGGCTCAGAAGACTGAGAGATGAGAAAAGTGAGAAGGCAAAACTCGACCGATTTCAGCGGCGACCCTGTGCACCCGCGGCGGCGCCCCACCGTGGTCCGAGCTCCCAGCGGCAGGAGGCAGGCGGAGGGTGTGCGGAGAGCCGGGCTACATTTCATCGCCGCCCAGCGCACCGCCGTCCCGGCGCGAACTTTCCAAGACCCGCCCTCGGAGCGGCCGGCGGGGCCCCAGGGAGCGTGCAGGCGGCAGCGGAGCAGGGTGCGCGTGGACTGGTTGGCGGAGAGGGCGTGCGCGCTGGGACCCCTGGCGGCACCGGAGAGGAATCCCGCCCTCCGTTACCTGGGTTCAGAGGATCACGGGCATCCAGCTGAGAGGGCGCGGGGCCGCAGTACAGGCAGTCCAGAGACCTGGGCGCTCCTCGGGGCGCAGCGGTCCCCAGACACGCGGGCGCTGCACCTGGCCCGGCTGGTAGGCGCGCCTACCCTGCCGGTCCCGCCCGCGATCCCCTCCCGCGCGGGGCGGGGCGGGAGGGGCGGGGAGGCCGGAGGAGGAGCCGCGGACAGGGGGCTCCCTCCCCTCTCGGGGCCCGCACCCAACAACCGACCGACCAGCCCCCGACGCCGGGCTCCGTGGCCTCCAAAGGGTCGCCCCACCACCACTCGCCAGGCTGCGGTACGACCAAAGCCATGCGCCCAAGTGGCGTCGGGGTGGGTGGGGGGGTGCGCATAGGCACCCTCATCTCCATACCCCTCCATGCCCTTCACGCTGACCCCCACTCCCAGGTGCTGAGGGCTGGGAGCCCAAGGCCTTCTTGAGGGCTGACCCGTTGAGCTTGCCCTTCAGAAGAATGCATAGGGTGGAGCACAGGGAAGAAAAAACAACAACTGGGTACCCGCAGCCCCACCCCATATGTCCTCTTCCCGGGTGGGAGAGGCTCCTGGCTGTTTTGGCCCTGTTGTCAGTTCTACCTGGCTCTCCCGAGTGGCCAAGAAGTCGGGTGGATGTGGGGTGGGGGTGAGAGGGGTGTTGCTTTGCCACCCCTCACCCTTTCCCCCAGGTTTCCATTTCCTAGGTCTGGAAGGTGCTGGTCCTGGATCTGTGCCACTCAGTGGACACAGCGATAAGAGTTGAAGGGACAACGAGGACAAAGAAACATTTGGTCCCTGGGACCCAGACTTCGTGTCTACTCCCAGGTGCTGAAGAAATAGGTTGCAGCGACTTCCTGCCTGCACCCTTCACCCTCCCAGAGGAGCTCTGGAAAACCCACCGCTTGGACAAAACTCCCAGACCCAAGTGGAGGGTCATCCCCCCTTGCAGCCTCAGGCTCACTGAGCTCCTTCTGCTCACTGCTTTGCTTTGTTTGCTAAGTGCACCAACAGTGGAAGGAGCACTGGACCTGGAGCCCAGAGGCCTCCGTTTAGCTCTTGACCTTGAACAAGTCTCTGCCCCTTTCTGGGCCTCATTTTCCCCATTTGCAGTGAGTGGGTCGCAGTTGATTATCTTTAAGACCCTTCTTACAGATCCTGAATTGTGCTATTGGGCATCTTGCTTTATAAGCTTTTCTGTGACTGTACATCTTGTGAAGGGGTGTCTGCATGCCTCCCAGCCTAATTAATTAGCTTGTCCTCTTGGACTTAAGTTCTTGAAGGGAAGGTGACTGAGGATGTACAAGCAGGTAGGCAGTCACCCTGAGCAAAGCAGAGCTTGACAAGAATGACTGGCACAGGGGAGTGGATCTTGGTCCCAGCTTATGCTGAATTCAGAGTGGCCTCAGACAAGTCCCTCATGAATAATCCTCACTTTGCCTTCTCAAGGGTGTTGGGTGGCTACATGAGGTATTAGATATGAAGCCCTTTGAATGGGGAAGGTAAGAGGTTATGTGCTTTTTGATGTCATCTTGTGATGCCCCTGACAGTGATGGATTTTGGAGGCAGAATAGGCCTTGAGATGGTCAAAGACTAGTGCTGGCCTCGTTTCCACCCTCCAGAAGCTGCAGCATGCACAGTCAGGCATGCCCCCCCCAATCCCTCCCCTCCCCCCCCCCCACCGAGTTACAATGCATCATCTCAGGTGCATCTCAGGTGAAGAGATTCACAATGCCCCACCAGACTCTGGCCCACTGCAGGTCCTTTGTGTGCACCGTGGGAAACTAAAGAGGGAGGATCAAGAGGCTCCCAACCTAAAGGGAGGTGGTCCGTGGATCAGCAGTGATCAGATCAGCATGTCTTAGCTGAACACCTGGTTGGCAGGTGCCACAGACATCCACCCCTGATCTTAGGGAGATTAAAATCTAGCCGAATGGTTAAACAGGAGTACTTTGGAGAAAGATATGGAATGAGAGGCTGTTGTGGACAGTGAGCACACAGAGAGGGCAGAGCAGGGGAACCGGGTTGAGGCCTCCCGTGCAGCCCAAGAAACTTGAAGCACAGGATGGACTGGGATATGTACCAGTGACTGACTGGGAGGAGCATGCTAGTTGGGAGACGGAGCTGAGCCAAGGTACAAAGGTGGGAAGGAACAGACGGGAGGGTGCGGGGGTCCTGGGGAGGGTCTGGAAAGCCAGGCTGAGAACTGTAGGCCTCAGAGGATTTTTGAGGCCACACCAGTTGGGGAGATATGGGCACAGGATGTTCCTGGAGAAGCACAGGCCCAAAATAACCCAATGAGGCAGCAGGTGACATGTCAAGAAGGCAGTGAGGTGATAATGGAAAGAGCACCAGGAGTCAGGCAACCTGTATTCAACTAGCTTTGAGCGGTTGCTTCTCTTCTCTGTCTGTTGCCTTATCTCTGGAGTGGGGATCCCAGCCTGTTTCCTTTTAGGGTTATCATGGGGACCACAGCATGCATTTGGATGTGCTCTGTCAACTGCAGAGTGCTGAGTGAATTTAACATTTCGGGTTTTGTTGTTTTTTTCAAGGGCCTCAGTAAACATTTGTGGAAATGACCCACATGGGGTTGGTCCCTGCATGTCTCTTTGTGGCAATGGGTGCAATGGACCACACAAGGCGGGTGGTGTGCAAGTCGTCAGAGGGACCCAAGGAGGGTAGGAACAAAGGAGAGCAGCAGTCATAAATGTCACATCTCCTTTGGACACCTTTAAAACATAACTCAAATACCCTGTGGGGAAGAATGGTCCGGTCCCATCTATATGACTCGGAATCTGCCATCTCTGCCTCTGCCCCTTGTGGCACCTGGGCGTTTAGGGTATATGGTATCAGAAGTTACTTTCCCAACCAGGTGCTTACTCCTCAGGGAGCTCACCAGCTCCTCCTTGGTGGACCCAGACTGTCTGTCCTCTTTATTCAAAATGACTTGTCTGACAGCAGAAACAGTGCAAAGGGGACAATCACCCCCCACTTAATAGCAGGATTCAGGTTCCTCACACATGCTCAGCCCTCTAGCACCCAATCCTAATTTAACCCATAAGTCCTCTCTCTCTTCTTATCTCTTCCGTGATGGAGTCATCAGGGCAGGGATTACCGCTCCACTTTGCAGATGAGAAAACTGAGGCTGGGAGAGGTGCCAGGACTTGCAGTGCCAGATCTAAAACAGCCACCTCCCCTGACACTATCGGAGCTGCCCTGCTGACAAGGCCCTTTTCTGGCCATCGTTTCATCAGGGCTGGGAGTATTATCCTCATTGTACAGAGGAGGACGCGGCTGCTCAGAAACAGTACATGGTTGATGAGAACTTCTCAAAGAGCTTTCTTTTCAGCCACTGTGTTCAAACAGTCAGCGCTGTAATTAGTTGCCTAGGGCTGCTGTAACAAATTACCACAAATGGAGTGGTTTAAAACAACAGAGACTTACTTACTCTCTCACAGTCTGGGAGGATAGAAGTCCCAAATCCAGGTGTCAGCAGGGCCACACTCCCTCTGAAGTTTCCATAGGAGAATGTGTCCTTGTCTCTTCCAGCTTCTGGTGGCCCCAGAAGCTTGTGGCCATATCTCTGCCTCTGTCTTCCCAAGGCCTTCTCTTCTGTGTCTCCATGTCCTCTCTTGTTTGTATAAGGACGCCAGTCAGTGGGTTCAGGATGATCTCATCTTGAGACCCCTAACTTAATTATATCTGCAAAGACCCTTTTCCCAAAAGCCAGTCACAGGGATTGGAGGTTAGGACGTGAACTTATCTACTGGGAGGACACTGTTTAACCCAAAGTGATGTCTTTCCCGCTACGGGCAGCCACGGGTGGTCCCTGGAGGCCAGTCTCCTCCTTCTCTTCTTCCCTCAATTTCTCACCTCATTTCAGCTACAGCATCTCCTTCCATCTGGTGGTGTTATGGAGGAGAAAGGAGACAAGCCTTATCAGGACCTTGCTAGGGGCATTAAGTTGGGGGAATCACCTCCCTTTGAATTCCTCTCTCACTGCCTCACAGTTTGACCATGGCTATTTCAATAGCATGCTTTGCACCCCCTTCCTCTAACATCTTTCCATCATGGGGTACCCATGGAAGGTATCTTGCCCCTTTTGGAGAATGTGCTCACCCCACCCTTTGTCCCAGCCCCTCCTCTCATGCTCAGGTGCTGACAACCTTTTGCCAGGAAGCAACAAAGCTTTGCATTCCATACAGAGAGCACAGACTCCCAGGCAAAACCCCCTGGGGTGGAGAGCATAGTCCCTCCCCAGGTGTAGATCCTGTCCTCAGAGCAGGATTGAGGAAGGCAGAGCATGAAAGGCTGGCCTTTGAAGAATGTGTGGAGAAGGAAGATGCTAGAAGGGAAGGAGGGTGACTTGCGTTGTCTGGGACTCACCTCGGCCAGGGCCAGGCCAAATGGCCAAGCTTAGGCTTGGGCCCCTTGCCAGGTGGGCTCCTCAGGGCCAATATCCATGAAGAACCAGAGAATCCAAAAGGACATTTGACCTAAGCAGTAAAGACACTCAGAAAGAAGCAGAGATACCATGAGAGGAACCAGCAGACCTGTGGAGTCAGGGCTGCCTCGGTCTCAGATGCCAGCTTCCCAGGCCCAAGGCAGTAACTTGACAGCAGTCAAAGGCCCACAGTCCTCTATACAAGGGGCTTGGGCAGCTCTCTGCTTGCAAGGGGAGAACTAGGAGACTGGTCTTGAAGTTACATTAGCAGGGAGGTGCACTGCTTTATTTGGGTGAAGGGTTTATTTGGGTGGCTAGGAAAAGGCACGCATAGAGATTAGGAAGGAGGTTTAGCCCACTTCCCCCTGCAAGCACCATCGTTACCCCACTAGATCCTCTGTTTTTTCCTACTAGCCTCACAGGGTCTCTGTTCCTGATCCAAAATTTCTATAGCAAGAAAATGTAACAGTCCAGTGTTTCTCAGTCCTGACTCATGTCAGCATCAGCTACCAATTCAATCGAATCTTTGGAGGTGGGACCAGTTCTTCTCCAGGTGATTCTCCTGTGCAGCCAGTGTGGAGACCCCCAGGTAGTCCAACTCCCTCAGCTGCCTGACTCTTGGGGCACCTAGAGCCAAGGTTACACCTGTGTCTTCATCATCC